TTGCGTTTCCTTAAAATTTTTGCAATTTCGTCTCATCGAAAGACGGGCTTATCAACAAAGTATTCCCGGATATCATTGCTAACCACAAAAATACTAAATGGTTAAGTGAGCGAGCAATTTTGACGGCTAAAAATAAAGATGTAGCTGACCTAAATATTATAATTCAAAATCAAATCGTAGGTACTCTGTATTCTTTCAAATCTATGTACTGTGTAATGAACGAAGATGAAGCCACTAACTATCCAACTGAATTTTTAAACTCCTGCCTGGTTTACCACCGCACAATTTGCAACTGAAGGTTGGCTCGGTAGTCATCATGCTTAGAAATTTAAACTAACGAAAACTTTGCAATGGAACACGTTTGGTCTTAATAAAACTGATGAGCAATGTGTTTCACGCGTTGATACTCAAAGGAAAATTTAAATATGAGGAAGTTCTTATTCCAAGGATTCCGATGATCCCAACGGATATGCCCTTTGAATTTAAACGAATTCAATTCCCGATTCGTCTTGCCTTCGCCATGACGATTAACAATTCACAGTGCCAATCATTGACTATTTGTGGCCTCAATCTAGAAAATGCATGTTTTTCTCATGGTCTATTGAACGTGGCATGTTCACGTGTCGGTAAACCATCCGCCTTATTTGTTCTTGCGCCTGACAAAAAAACAAAGAATGTCGTTTACCACGAGGTGCTTGAATGAACAGAGTTAATCCGAGGGCATCACATGCTACACAACATACTTTAATTTGATCATTTTTTTCTGACACGTGTTTGAAGTACTTAATTTTTATTTGTATTCTCTTTATGTATGTATTGTTGATCATAATAAAATAATTTTATGTATCTATCTATGTTCAAATTTTTGTTTATCGTTGTATTACGTTCATCAAAGCCTAAATTAGTTCAGCTAAAAGGTAACACGACATTAATTGACTGTTAGGCGGTACGAAGTTCGCCGGGTCAGCTAGTGTATATATTATATAAATGATCAACATGATGAGACGAAACGAGACTGTCTGTCCAAGATATCTTTTACTCAAGATATCTTGATGAAACTTGATACACGTATTCCTTGGAACAAAAGTGAAGACGAAGTCGTTGATGGGCGTAATCTAACCGCTGTCACACCCTCAAAACGCCATTAATCGGAAACCTATAAAATGTCATAACAAAATACTGAATTAAGATATAAAACTGTAAATTAGTGCAGGAGATTACAGTAGCGAGGGGCACTTGTAGGCTAAAAATTTTGAAAATGGGGGCGTGGTCCCGCTCTCTAATATGTTTAATGTACATATTTTGTAAATAACTAAAGCTACAATAACCAAAACCTCTACCGACAATGTCACTGACACTGTTTGGGGGTACTGAAAGGGCTGGATCAAGGTGTCATGCGACCTGTGCCTGGCTGAGGCCCTTAAATAGCCCAGTCTCGAACGGAGCTTACGGATACTTGGCGCCTTTCGTAATATGATAGCCTTACTTGTTTAGAGGGGGCTATGCGCAAAGAGGACATACTTTCCCCTACACTCGTGGGTTAAACACATGAGTCAGAATAATAACAACAAAGAACTAAAGGAGTTTGAATCTCTTATAAAATAGGCGGAGCTAACTAGTTCCGAGGAGCTTACGAAGGCGCTCCAGGAATCCATTGATTGCACCAAAGAAGTCTTGCCTAACTTTAAGCTTGAACCGTCCGCAGTGCCAGGCAAGCGACAGAGGTCAGCTGAAGAGGCCGTCAGCCAAATGACCAAGGACAAAGGATGTAATGCCCGCAAAATCGTTTGCTGACGTTGTTTGGAACCACATTATCATTGGTGTGCGTAATGAAGGAGATCCCGAAAAAAAATCCCCAGAGCCCAATGGAAATAGGTGCAAGCTGCGCTGACACACGTCATACCCAGGTGCCGGCTGGTACCAGGACCAGATCAAAATGATAGCTTATGATGACGAGAGATCGGTCCAGTTTTATAAGACCGCAGTAGCCGTTGGGGAGGTATATTCCAGAGCCTGGCTGGTAGCGGTCGATAAGAAAGAGATAAAATTCCGAGCTAGGGCAAGGGTATAGAACTCGGCTACACCATCGCAGCCGGACCAGATAATGCAGCTAGTCAGAGCCTGCAACCCAAATCTGCCACCTGAGGGGTGGAGATTCGTTAAAGCCTTCGTGGACCCCGCAGCAGAATCTGGCGAGGAGACTAAAAGTGTCACGAAGCAGATCCTACTGCTACTAAAAAAGGAATCCATAGAACCGCTGGCGATAAGTGGCGTGTGTGAAGATCATGACCTACAAGTCAGACGCCGATGTCGAGATGGGTGAAGTCGAGGAAGATCCCATGGGGTTTTCGATTGATGCAGATAGCATTGAGCAAGGTAAGTGTTCTTCGGGGTCTGAGCTTGTTGACAGACTCTCTAAATTAAATTCTGAGAGAGATTCTGAGCGACTCTCAATAAGATGTAGATAAGACAATAGTTGATGCGTATTCTTCAAATTAGTCTCCACCATAGCAAATTAGCTTCTTTAGCCATGCGGTTGGGTGACAGAACAGCCTGATTTCGTTCTCTATCAGGAGACATGGGTTAATGGGGAGCGCATTTGCGAACTGAGGGCACCGAGCTACAAACAAGGCTAATTGCGAAGGTAAGGTTAGGACATGTTTATTGGCTAAGAAAAACCTTAACGTTTTCATGTTATATAGCTCTAGCAACCAAGACACCACAACAATTAGCTAGGAGGCGTAGAAAAATAAATATTGGCTGGTGTCATACAATAACCCGTACGAAGAAGTGGAAGTATCATCGCAGCTGATTAAAGAGCTGGTACGAGACAGCAAAGCATCCAAGTGCTCAATTACATTTCGATGCGACTCTAACGCATACAACACACTATGGGGCAGCACAGACATCAACGAAAGGGTTCAGTTTCTCTTTAATTATTCACTAGCAACTAAGCTTTTGTTGTGCAACAGAGGCAGGTCAACATTTATACCAAGAAACCGGCAGAAAGTATTAGACATAACACTTATGTCAGAAGAACGAACAAATAAAATGACCCATTGGAGAGTTTTTGAGGATCATGGAAGAAAATGTAGGCAGGGTAGAAAATTTCAGGAATCAGAGAAAAACGAACTGGTAAGTGCACCTTCAAGAGCTAAAGAAACCTATGATTCCCCTATTCCAACCTGAGAACAAAGAGGATCTATACTGCAAGAGAATAAAACGTTGCATCACACCCGAACTTAACCCTTAATCACCTTTTCGACTAAATTCGGCACAATTAAAAATTATCAAATAGCATCCTTGGTTTTCACCTATAGGTGGGCAATGCCACACTTATTGTCCAATTTTGGGATCAGGCATTTATTTATTGAGCTTTAGTAGTTTTCAATATAACCGTAGGTGAGGTTATAATCCGATTTCACACTGTCAAAGGGCATTTCGAAAATATTTGTCCTGAGAAATTTTGAGACCCTAACACGGTGGTTTATGTAAAAAAAAAATTTGTATCTTACAAGGGCGTTTACTTATAGCGTTTTGTAGGTTTTCGATTAATGGCATTGTATGGGCGCGACATGGGTCCAATTTCGCCCGTCTGCATTGCCAAACTCTCTTGGGTACCAACGACCACGTGTACCAAGTTTCATTACCATATTTTAGTTTTTACTCAAGGTATCACGTACACAGAAAGAGGGACGAACAGACAGTCAACCGGATTTCAACTCGACTCGTCATCCTGATCATTTAAACATACATAACTTTATATTTATCTCGATTAGTTTTAGGTCTTACAAAGCACCTTAACAAACAAACTATAAAACCCTGTAGCATCGTGTTGGGAGAGTATCATAAAAGTTAGTTTATATTTCGATACCCAAATCAGTAATATAACATTTCCAGTTGGAAACATTTTATATAAAAATTTTTAAGAATCTCAGGTTAATTACAGGCACAGCTATGTTAGAAAATAGCTGAATATGGGCGTAACAACTATACTCTTATATGTAAAAAATTCTATATTAATCGTAATCGAAATGCTACTCATAATTATGTAAGTACAAATGCGGGTAGCATATACAATATATATCTTGATTATTGTTTTTCTAATGATACAACTATCATTGGTAAAAATTGAAGGACAAGGCAGGTGCTTTCACAAAAACGGAGCAATTTGTCTGGATACATGTATGTATGTTTGTGGAAGCCCTATAGTACTGTAGTATAATATTATTATCAGCTTAGACGGAATATATTTTTAAAAATATTTTATTTATAGAAAAGCTTAAAGTTAAAGTTGTAGACATTAACAAAAACTCGAAACGTTTCAAAAATATAAAGATAACGTTGATAACTGACAGGAAAAGCTATGCATTTCTCGACAGGGTATGTAATCGTACACACACTAGTTCATTCGCATATGTACCCGTATATGCAATTAGCATTTTTAAGTTTTCTTTACTGAAGTAACATTACAATTAAGAAAATTATATATGGAACTAATTCTGTAACGCATATGTTTTAGAAAGGCATAGTTACTTCGATAAATGTACTGAAAATATTTAAATATTTATAGTATAACCAAAACTTACGCATATTACAATAGTAATTCTCTTAAACTAAGAGCGTTATGCAGCTCAACTTAACCATTGCCAGAAAATGTTTTAACCACTGGTTAGGTTTTTTTTAATTATACATGGTTTATAGCGGCAGTAGCCGATTTGGAAGCCGTCGATTTGCGTTCATCATGTTGTTTCGTTGATATATTATCAATTTTTATGCATATGTTTGTACGTATGTACATACAGACATTGTTTCCACGCCATGTTGAGTGGCAAAAAAAATTTGCTGAGGTCATTGGTGAAATAACGTAACATAATTTATGCGCATGTGCATCAAGTCACTCCCTGGTTTCCACATTTTTTATATATTATTAAAGAATTTATTTTAGTTTGGTTTAATAAAAAAATCATAATTTTGAAACTCAAGAAAAATGATCTTACCTTCGTTACTTTCAATGATAATTTGTCTATCTCACACTTATTCTATGTATATACATAATTAAAAATGTTATCAACTTTTAGTATTTGTCAATTTTGCGGAGTATATGTCTCCCTCACTGCACATGATCCCTATATAAATGAATAATTTAACTTTAAGTCTATGATTATTTTTGATTAATTTTTAAGAACCAGCTCAGTATGAGATCTTTTGAAACATTTTTTTTTATCAAAGTTGTCTCATTTTATTTATTACCACACGCCAAGGACTTAACGGCAAAACTGTTATATCTAAAATCGCTAGCAAAGTGTTTGCGCCGCCGTGGAAATAGAGTTGCCAACCCTACGATATTAAAAACTAATTTATAGAGTTCATTGTATACTTTTAGGATGAATACGGTTGATTATCTTATTAATGTCCTTTTTTACGTTTAAGATGAACCACAATTTATTTTGATAATATAACAGTATCCTACAGAACATTTAAATTTAAAAATTAAAGGAAAGACTGTTACTAAATGGGCATACATTGCATAAGAAACATATTAGTTTTTAAAAGCATATAAGAATCATTCTAATATTGCCATATATGGTGCTACCGAGCACATCAAAAAGCAGCACAAATATATCCACCTCAAAACTAAAATTGTTGAAACAGTAATAAGAAATGGAGGCAGCGATTTTCACTGTGAAAATATTCCAGTTTTAAGACTAATTAATTTCTTTTCAATGTTTTACCATCAAATGATCAGGATGGCGAGAAGAGTTGACTTCTAGGACTGTGTGATCGTTTGTCCGTCAGTCTGTCTGTTCGTGGAAGGTATGTATGTATAACTTGAGTAAAAACTGGTACACGTGTTCGTTGGCTCCCAAGGGAGATTGGTACTGCAGATGGGCGGATTAAAATCATTGCCACACCCACAAAATGCCGTTAAGCAAAAAATTATGAAAGGCAATAACAAAGCCACAAATTAAGATACAAAACTGTAAAGAGAATGGTAACTATTGTAGGGCATCGAAGTATGGAAGAGCATGATTTTGCATGATAGAGAATGGGTCATATCCGTCTTTTTTCAACCAAACTCGGAGCTGATAGTTATTAAATTACATTGTAAGAATTCATGAAATCAGTCAACCCCAACGTTTACTTCCCATATATTACAATTCTAAATTCCATATGATTCTTTCACTTTACAATATATTATATAAATCGAAAGCCAATGACGTGATCGAAATAAAACTTTGCACAAGTCGTGGCTTTAAGGTCTACCATCTCACGACTAAAAATGATCGAAATCGGATAATAACTTATCACGCAATGTAAATTCCGAATATGTGGACACCAGCGCCTATGGCTGGCTTTTTACCGAAAATAGCGGTAAGTCCGTGAGATATATGAATTTTAAAACTTCCGGTTAACTTTACACGATATAGGTACATACGTATATCGGTCAGTATAGAAGGCATATTAATGAAGCTCAGAAAGCATTTTTTGCTGGTAGTAATATGTCAAAAATTTATAAAACCAGGTAAATACTAGTTCTCATATACCTTATATAAGAATTTCAAACATCTGGTTGGCTTTATATGGTTTATATCGGTCAATATGTAAGATGCTTTAACACAATTCAATTTAGTTAAGTAAGCGAATAATATTGGTCATACGATGAATATGTGTGAAATCCGTTAGCAAAGTACACCAGCTCACATATACCACATACAATAATTTTCGTTATTCTTCTTAGTTATCTTCATAAAATCATAAATGTGGCAGCATTTTCTCGAGTATACTTGGGTAATGTCACAGTTAATGCCATCAATTCCGACCTTCCCCTAGCTCCAATCAAACTTTAAACTCTTTGTGATATCTTAGAGGAATGAAGTGGACACATTTTCCTAAACATGTGGTTTAACGCTCAAAATGAATGAGATTGGTGTAGACCTTGGTCTTAACCACATATCAATATAATAATGATTTCCAATTCTGTTGTTCACTTTTACCGTCTGCCGTGCAGACGTTGAGTAAGCATTTAGATATCGTGATGAAACTTGGCACACGTGGGACCATGAAAAAACTCGGCACCCAAGGGATACCATACCTCCCAGCAGGGAGATGGGTGTAATGAGAAGTTTGCCCTACCCACAAAATGTCACTAAACGAAAACTTATAAAGTGCATTCCTAAACTTCACAATATAATATAAAACTGTTATTTGGTACAACTAATCGCATTAGGTAGAGTTGGAAATTTTTTTTAAAAATATGGCGATTAATATATGTACATATCTCCCAAACTGTTAAAGTTCAATTGACCAAATTCGATCAGGACAAATATTTTTGGCATACCCACTGACAGTGCGAAAATGAATAGAAACCGAGCCCACTCCACATATAACGGTTATGTTGAAAACTACTAAATACGCCATAATTTACTAAATAAATGCGTCAGAAACATTAAATTTTAGACCCAAGATGGTATAGACAATTGGCACCGTCCACCTTTAAGTAAAATCCCATATTCCAGGACCTGCTCGACTAATTTTAACCAAATTCGTTACTTAACATTTCTATAGTACATGACCAATAGTACATGATAGTAGGATCAGAACCTTGCTAACTTACATTTAACACAACTGTGATTCTTCCACTTGCCCGTATACAAATCAATCAAGATTATATCGGGCTATCTCAAATCTAAATATGGTCATAATGGAATCATAAGTGTTCAAGCCCCCAGAGATCAAATATGTTGACCTCAGTGCTTATGACTGTGAGATATAATATTTAAATTCGGAGGTAGTCTTTTCCAGATATATAAGGGTTAATATGAAGATGAGCTAGCAAAATTACGGGTAAAATTGATCTACGAATTACGCCAGCTCGCTTATACCACATATAATGATTTTCGTTATTCTAGCAGACTTTAACCGAATATCAGAGAGTAAGTTATCTTCATAAAAATGCGTGGAAACAAGTTTCTGAATACGTATATACGTGAGTAATGTCACAAGTTAACGCAGTCAGTTCAGACCTTCCCCTATCTCACATTTCCCCGATATAACGATTTCAAACTTTTTAGCTGACTTGAACCCGCTTATGTTGAGCAATATATGTGATATTTCAATGTTTTTATAAACACAATATGGTTTAGCCTTGAATATAAATTAAATTGGTGTGGACCATGATCTAAGCCCCTAATATTATATATATAATGATTTAAGTTTCACTGGTCGATTTCGTCCTCATATACCCCATATATTAAATTTAATCTCTTTGGTTGAGTTTATATAATATTATATCATTTGAGTCAACAGGGTTGATTTTGGTACCAAATTCCCGGATATGTAGCAAAATATAGTAATGAGACTAATTCAGTCTACGATCTCTAATATTGGTTAATAAGATAACACACATGATTGTAATCGTTTCATTCTTTCGTCGAAAATTTAGGGATAAAATGGGTATGGGCAGATAGGGTGTGTTCTTCAAATCAAAAATATATGACCCATATACCCATCGAAAATTTATATTGAATATTTTTTTTCGTGCGGATTATTTATTTTTTGAGTTATTTGAGGCAAAACATTGGACACATAATTTTATATTTCGACTCAAAATAAAAATTTTGGAGATATGAATCTGTAAAATTTCAACCGAACTCGAAAATGTATTTTCACACATAAAAACAAACTTAATAAAATAATTCCAAATTGAAAAAAAAAATTATTTGTTTATAAAAATGTATATTATGTTATGAGAAAAAATCGTAAAAATTAGACCGACTGGTTATTGTCTAATTAAATATTTTTCTTCGTATACGCAAATGTTTCACGGTGTTTTCTCAAGCGTTGAAATTTTGAAAAAAAATTTTGACTCCAAAATTTTTCATTTTGAGTAGAACGAAAAAAAATACATGTCCAATATATTGAATGTAAAACTTGAATGGAATGACCTATATACATATGTATATAGCCGCGGTAGACTTATAATTTTAAGAAAACTTTAATTACGATTTAAAACTATTTGTGCGCTATTTAATATTAAAAAAATATGTAAAAACTATTATAAGATGTGGTAGTGGATATAATATTGAATAATATTTGTGTTAAATTCATAATGCGAATATTTCAAAAACTATACGTCTCCTGCGACTATATATAATATGTATAATTTTAATCTGGAGAATATCCTTTATACACCCATATCCATTTTATCCCTGAATTCGAGGGTTGCTATACACAATTAAATTGGTATTACTCTACAAAACTGATTGAGAAGTATTATATATATGTATGCAACTCCGAGAACAAAACCCATCTTAAATTTTTGATTCGAAACTCGATTGTAACTAAAAATTGTTCTCGGCACGGTGCAAATGGCCTACTATGGTAATATAACCAAATAAACACAATTATTTTGTTAATAATATTTACAGTATTCTAACGGCTTAAACCAAGTTCAATCCAATAGGATATTATTTAAATTCTATTTATTTTAATGGCATAATAAACTTTCACCTGAGTAATAGTATAGAAAAAGAGTTTCGTAACTAAACTTTATATTAGATAAAATGTTATATAGCAATTCGGAGACGTGATGAAGACAGAAGCGACATTTTGTTCAACTTACCCACTTTGTTAGGTAACAATCAGATGTTGTGAAACGTTTCATTATTTTAAAATTTTATTTAACACAACAAATTCAATAATTATTTTTTAAACACATCGGTTTTTGCAGTGAAACCAATCAAGCGAAATTGAAATAATAAAACTTTAACAATGTTGACTACGTCAGCACATTTATTTATCTCGCTATGTCTCGATGTACTGTATTAATTCGCGTACATAATAGGGTGGGTCAGTGAAAAAAAAATTATAAATTGGAAAACTCATAGTTTTGTAGAAAATTTACTGCTCTCCAAAAAAAGTTCACTTATAATAAAAAACAAAAATGTATACATATGTATATCTATATACATATATAAAAGAAAGTCGTGTTAGTTACACTGAAGAACGGCTGAACCATTTAAATGAAAAAGGTAGCTTAGAACCAGGGGACGAACATAGGATAATTTTTATTTATGTATGTTAAAAGCCAATACAATTCATAAATACAAACATTATATTTCAAATCATAAGCATGTGTTCAAACTCATGTAAGAATCATTTGAATATTTTATTACTCACAAAATTTCTCGAATCATTGCACAGAACAATGCAATATTTAAACGGCAGCGATGAAGTTTTCGGTGGTGCTGTATTATTACTGTCTGCTGATTGCCGACAGCCCGGTCATCCTTC